CCTTTGTATGTCGAGGCGGGGAGAGGGGGGAAACGGTGGCGAGCGGCGAAGTGCTGGCGAGATTGGTAAGGCGGAGGGTCCTCGGCCAAGGTGGCAATCAGAAGAGCAAAGGCTTCGGGATGAAAGGGAAAGGCCATGTTGCTGATTGGGAGATGATTGGGAGAGAAAGAGATATGATAGATGAACGCCAACGTGATCAGAAGGGGGAGAAGACAAGCCAGGAGGAAAGGCGAACCGGCGGCGGGAGCTGCAACAATGTGCATGACGTGTCAAAAACGGCTTTGCGTCACGTGGATTTGATTCCGCCCCCCCCCCCTCTTTTTTGCCCCGCCCCCCCTCCATCTCAGGGGGTGGCCGACAAGCGGCGGGACCCGTAACGCAAAAAAAGCAAAACGAAGATTGCACATTCACGGTCTGCATCCTTCAATTTTCACTGTACAACAACTTCTCCATCTTATTACGAGAGTCAACGCCCTTAAATATCATTTTCCCTCTCTTTCCCTTTTCTTGAGCGACTGCTCTTCCTCGAGGGCTCAGTTTCCTCGAAAACGTCGCTGGAGGTGACCGTGGAAGAGGAAGGGGCGATGGAAGAGTTTGAAGGGCCGGTGTGAGAGTTTGAAACGGCGGAGGAAGAGGAAGATTGCGAAGCGCCGGGGTTTTCAGTTGACATGGAACAACCTGGATTCAATTTTGTGTCAGATAAGATTATGGATCATTCAGTCAGGAAAAGACTCACCCTTTGTTTTCTTAACGGGTGATTTTCCCAGCAAAACATCCGAAGAAAGGGCGTGCCGAGGTCTTTTTGCAGGTGAGGAGGTCGTGTCACCGTCGGAGACCTGGAGTAGCTTATCAGGAACTCATCGCGAGCCGTTGTGTCAGAGAAGATGAACATACCCTTCCGTGCACAATTATCGTCGAAGGCGTCCACTCGAGACCAGCACGCTTGCCCTCCCTGTCCATGATGTAGCCCTGTTGTAAATGGCACATTGTGAGCGGGCCAAGTCTTCAGCAGGAGGCATGGTGGTACTCACTTCAACGTTGAAGGCTACGGAGAGGACTACGTCGTCTGGCAGGTATTCGAGAGAGTGGAAACCAGCTTCAAAAATCGCCTCTTCGTCTGTTGAGTCCGGGTCGACGCTGCGGCCACGAACGACAACCCTGGGCCAGGGTCGACGACGGTAGGTGGTGCCTTTGAGTAGGGCGGTGACGACTGGTTCTTTGAGGTCGGAGTTGTCGGGGAAGTTTTCGCCCGTGTACTGATGATTGCACAACGTCAGCGAGCATAATGGAAGAGTATTGGGCCGTCAACTCACGTCGTCCTTTCGGTTAGCAAACATGAAGACCTTTGAGCGGAATTTCAGTTTGTTATGGTACGAGCTAATGCCGTTTGACATGAATTCGTATGGAGAGGGGGCGTCTTTGTCTATGTGAGTTTTGAATGCGTTGGCGATCGAATTGTACGCCTTATTAAGGTTCGCAAGGCCGGTGGACGATGGGCAAATAGCGAGGGAGTATTTCGCACCGGCGATTCTGTGAGCGAAGCGCCTGTCAGAACAAGGCGGAGAAGTATCGGGTCAGCACATGAAGACTTAAACAAAGGTAAACGTACGTGGAAATAGAGGTGTTTACACCGTGGCCGTCCCTGTAGAGGACGGTACAGGCTTTGGTGTCGTGGCTGTGGTATCCCCGTTGTGCAGTGTCGGATACGTGCCCCTACGATGCAAGTGAGGATTATTGCAACATGCACAAAGAGGGAACTTCGACATACCGAAGACTCAAAGTTGTCAGGCCACAGTGAGCCGACGGGGCAAGTGTTTGACATCTTGCCTTTACGACCGTGGGCCCAAAAAAGAGCGCTGCAGAAGAGCTGTTGTCAGCAAGAAGGGCATCAACAACAGTCATCGAAGTGTAGCGCGTACAGGGTCTGTCCTCCATCGCTATTGGAGTTATTACCATCAGCGTTGGTCGATCCTTCGTCACTGGCAGTGTCGTCATCGTAGACGGAGACGTTTCCGCCGGTAATTTTGAATTTGATAGGCGGAAGCTCGCAGTTATCGTTCAGGTAAGGGAAGGTATTTGAGGAGAGCTGCTCCTCGATTTCAGAAGTGGTGAAAAAGGATAGAAGGGGTAGAACACGACGGAGGTCCATGCTGGAACCTTCGTTGGTTTTCACTTCCTTCCAGGAAGAGAAGGCGGCGGTAGTAGTCATTTTCAGAGGCACTGTGGGAATAAGTGCGTTTGGCGGGATCTTCTTATACTTTTTGCCGCTCCAAGCAGCAAGAGTACGATACCCTCCTTCACCGACCAATGACCGCTCAAGAGTATGCAGCGGAGTGCGCATCAGCGACCAATTGTCCAGTCCAGACCGAGAATAGACATCATCATACAAGAGCACGTAGCAGCGAACAAGAGCGTCGACCGTTGGAAGGCATGGGTGAAGGAAAGGTCGTTGGACTTGTCTTCAGCAATGCAAGCAGAGCACTTGCGACAGAAGCGTGCCCAGTTGTCGATGATAGCGGAGGTGTCGAGGACATGGGAGGGGATCATGGGGGCCGAGCATTGCCACGCATCTTGAAGGATGTCGACCCTCAGTTTCGGCACGAAAATTGCTTGCGTATCCGCCCTTGAACACTGCTCTGAGCAAGAAGCACAAACGACTTGACCCAGCTCATCAACCGAAGTGGCCTCTCGATACGACTTAATCATGTCGATGTTGTGGTCGAGAGATGGCTGCTGAGGCC